TCGAGCGCGCGGACAACGCTGGGGCAGGGGAGGCGGCAGAGCTGCCTGGCCAGGGGGACGCAAAGGTGATTTGTCGACGGCTGGAAATTAAACGAATCCATTGCCTTGTTGTCGGCAAGCGGAGATGAGTGGTGGTTACCAAGAAAAGGCACAAATTTCCCAAAGGGAGGGGAAGCGAGACTGAAGGGGAAACCCTAAGGAGTTTCCAGCCTGCAGCGAAAGGCAACGGAGACTTGCAAAGTGGCAGAGTAACGGTGAGGCTCTGCAGGAGGCTGCAGTTCGTTTCTGGGCATGGCAAGGGGGGCGTCCTCGCTCCGTCCGGAGGGTCCGCGGCCGGACGGGCTGCCTGGCTGGAGCTCGTCCCTCGGCCGAAAGCCCCCTCGCCCGTGCTGGCCTCTGGTCCTTGCTGTGCGGGTTTCCGCTGAGCCCTGGCCAAAGCTGGGAGCCGTCAGCGGGAAGAGCAGCTCCCTCTGGGAGCCTGAGCACCCGTGGGGCCGCGCCGCTCCTCCCTCTGCCCTTCTGGCCTCCTCCTTCCTTCCCCGCGCGCCTCCCTCAGCATCCTTCCCGGGCAAGGCTGTCTCCCCGGCCAGTCTGAGGGCTCTCCTCTGTGCTCCTCGGCTTCCTCCTCCCCGCTGGAGGCGATCATGTGATTTAATTATTCTTTATTAGCTTCTTGTTCATCTGCCTTTTCACCTCCTCTTTTTTTTTTTCTTTCAGTGAAACAATCATGTTTTTGCACCAAATCTTTTACCAAGGCCTGAAAGCAAGAATATCCAGCTGGCCAACGCTTGTGCTGGGTGAGTGCGTGACACCCCTTCGTTGCGTTTCGTTCTCTGCTCTCTGGTTAAAATCCTGCCCGTGCTGTTCTTCCTAATGAAACTTTACAGACCTTCTTGCTCATCAGCTGTAGCAACGAAATGCATTGCACTGCACCTTGTCGCCAGCCTCTGAGGCTTAGTAACGTCGCTCATAGATACAAGGACCTGATCAGAAAAGAAAGGAAGAAAAACAGTTCCTCAAGTATCCTAGTTCTGCATGTTAGTGAAATAAATGGACTCTCCCGTACGCCCTGAAAACTGTTCTGGTGCTAAAGAACGTTGATATGTTATCAGACAGATCCTGCTTTGATTGATCCCCCAGCTAAGTCATACGGAGATTTCTGCTGAAGGCATGTGTATTAAACGCAGACACTGCACACTCGGGCCCCCGATGTGCCCAGTGTGTCCCTGTGGGAGCAGAACCCCAAACCAGGGGTCTCGAGAGCGGCAGAGGGTCGGGTATCCCCAGGGGAGCCCGGCTTTAGACCCAAACAGTGCAGACGTAGGGCCCATAAATACGTTGAGAGGCAGCGAGCGGTCACCCAAGGAGGGAGAGGAAGGTTGGGCTGGGCTGGATGCCGGGGCGCAGGCTTGGACCAGCGCGTTAACCTCCATGTCGTGGCCTGTCTGCTCGCAGCCGACCTGTTTGACATCCTGCTGCCCATGCTGAACATCTACCAGGAGTTTGTGAGGAACCACCAGTACAGCCTGCAGATCCTGGCGCACTGCAAGCAGAACCGCGACTTCGACAAGCTGCTGAAGCACTACGAGGCCAAGCCGGACTGCGAGGAGAGGACCCTGGAGACCTTCCTGACCTACCCCATGTTCCAGGTGATCACCAGCTCCCAGCATCGGCCCCAAAGATGCAAACTGGAGCGTCGGCTCCGAGGGACGGGCGGAGTGGCGCAAAGCCCACCTCCCTGCAGGAGGCACCGCGTGGCTGGGAGGCAAAGCCCGGGCAGCGGTGGCCTCGGCAGGACCCTGCACGGAGCCTGCGCTCCCGAGTCCTCGGGAGGATGAATTTTAAGTGCAACCTCGTAACGGAGCTGCTGGGTTCCCAGGAGGCTGGTACTGCACGGCCCAGGGCTCCTGGGTCCCACCGTGCCACCCCGAAGGAGCTGTGGGACATGGTCATCCCAGCACAGTGGGGAGGGAGATGGGGCACAGCAGGGTCCTGGGCAAAACCTGAGACCGTTCCTGCTTTTCGTTACGTTTGACCGCAAGGTCTGGAGCTCCTGTAGCCTCCCAAGCCCGTGGCGGAGCCACCAGGCTGGTGGTCCCCCATGCCCCCTCCTAGCTGGCCGCGTCCCCGAGCTGCGTGCCGTGGCTGATCCCTCGCTCTCCGTTTGCCACGGTGCAGATCCCCAGGTACATCCTGACGCTGCACGAGCTGCTGGCTCACACTCCCCATGAGCACGTGGAGAGGAACAGCCTGGATTACGCCAAGTCCAAGCTGGAGGAGCTGTCCAGGTGAGACCCGCGGCCGGGCAGGGAGAGGTGTCCGGGCAGGCAGGCCCAGTGGGGCCGGGAGGGCTTCTGGGCTTCTTCGATGCGCGGGGGCAGGAGGCGAGCGAAGCACTGCAGACTTAGCCCCGTGCTCGCGCTCCCTTAGCCGGAGCCTGCCCTCCCGTCGCCCTCGCCCTCCCCC